TTGTCCTCTCTTTTGGTGTGCACGACGGGCCGACCTGTTCTTTTGCGAAAAGGACGGGGGCTGGCTTTGAACAACACGTGTTTCCCTTGGTGCAAGCCATAGTCAGGGCAAGGAAGCGGGGATGGAAGGCCTTCATGGGATAGAATTGGAACAGACCACGCCCAGCCACCATTTGTTTGTTTGCCCAAATCTACGGCTTCCGCGTGGTTTAAATCCCGTTGTTTGTTGATTTGTTTTCCTGCCCGACATTACCTTCGAACTTTTGCCAAAGCGTCTATGTCCAACCACCCACTAGGAAGCACACTGTAGATGTCTTGGTGTCGAAGTTTAGAAGTGATGTGTGAAAAGCCCAACTCTTAGCTCCTTCGACACCAGACTCTCAAACTTTTCAAGTTGGAACGCGAAGCTTTGATTAGGCCCAAAAGTTTCAACTTGTCCCAGAGATTTGAGGAGACTGTTTACAAGCATCTAAATGAGTTCAAAGCAGGACGCTGGAAGCCTCTTTTTCTGGGCGGGATGGGAGAACCATTTTGAGACGAATCCAGATTCGATGATTTTTTCAGGGGGTCTGAGATGCCAGTTTAGCTGGTCACCAGCCGGATCCCCTTAAAAGGAAGTCACAAGGGATATCAAGGGATGGATAACTCGGGGAAACCTCGCACCCCATCCCAACACCCCAGGACCGCAAACCCCACCAAAATTGAGCAGCCATGAATTCGTTTCTCGTTTCAAGCCGCGGGAACATAGATGTTCATAGGTGTGCTTTTTGGTTGTTTTGCTCGAAACATAGATGGCCCTGGTTCACCTGGTGGTTTAATCATCCACCAGGGAAACCCATCTATCTCCCCTAAAAGGAGACCAATGTAGATGTTCCTTTTCCGACATAGGAAAATCGCCCAACTCCAAGCTTGGCCTTGTAGCAAGTGAAGCCGAAGCGGTGGATCCGGCCACTGGCCACGTTTTGCGCAGGTGTGGACGCGAGACATCGAGGCCACCGTGCACTACTCGGGGACAACGTGCCGGCGGTATCTCAGCTGAATGCGGGAGGGGGACGCTTCATTGGCCTGTAAGGCGGTTTTTTGGATAGGAACTTACTAGTTGTTCCTTAACTAGGTCCCCCAGTGGTGCCCTTCTCTCCCCTGTTTTGGTTGGGAGGGTTCCCCTACTAAAATAGACTACAGAAAAAAGGGTACCCTTATTCTAACCTCTCTACTGGAGGACCTAGTAAACCTCGAAATTCCTCCTCAAAATTGGGGAACTGAGCGGGTTCTGGGTGCCAAGCTGGGATATGTTTAGGTTTGTTCAGCCACTGAACTCGGCATGGCTTTACAACCAACCCCAAGAGCCGTATCCCGCACATCGCCTCCTTCCAAATGGTTTCCGGGGCCAGGGGTCCCAACGAACGAATACCTCCAATGCCTTTTGGTGCCACAAACCAACTGAGGCTGGCTGCAGCCCAATGCGTGCAGGTTTTTGAAGGGCTCGTTTGCCTGATTTGTAGGGGTCCTGATTTGGGCTTGTCTCAAAGGGTACCCTAAAATGGGTGGGTTTCCCTTGGTTCCCCTTTAAATCCACCCCAAAAATCGGTGCCATCCAAGAAGACACCCATTTATCCTCTTGGCAGCTTTAGTGAGCGTGGGGGGAGCAAAAAGTTGGCTCACCCATGACAAAGGTCCTTACTTGCCAGCACTCCCCAGCTTGATCAAAACCATGTCCCAACTCCCAACTGGCCACAAAAGCCTTGGTTAACGGACCCGGGCGGCGAGATGATCAGTTCATATGGGCGTGGGTCAAAATTAAACCACCAGGAAGTGGACCGCAGGTTTTGGTCCATGGTTCCACTTACCAGGGTAACCCATTTTGGGTACCTATGTTTGACCCACAGTCATATTCCGGTTCCTGAGTTATACTTTGAAAGACACCAGGATTTTTTTCAGCCGCCCCGCTCAGCGAGGTATGAGCCGTTCGAGCCAGTGGACGGCGGAGAAGGCGGTGAAACGGGACTTGTGACATGGGGACTAAAAACCAACGACTCTTTCCGCTTGGTTCTTTGAAAGGGTTCCTTCCTTCCCGGATTCCCCCGTTTTGGTGAAAGCGATGCCTTTCAGGAAACAACAGTGGGCTTCCTTTGGGTTGACTGGCGTGCAAGGGGACCGACCACATCAGGAGATGGAGCCCAACACACCTCCCTGAAATGCCTCCAACCGCTAAAAGGACACGTACGGCACTTGTCGGTTTGGAACACAAAGCCATTCCCTTGGAAAAAGCAAATAAAAACGGGGAAACAATAAAAGAAGAAAAAAAGGCATGTAAGTTGATCCGGCAGGTATGGCCGGGATGCGCCCACCTTCGTCCATTTAGGGCCTTAGAATGGTGGGCCCTCAAGCATAAATAGGTTCCATGTATATATATATATATACACACCTGTGTGTGTGTGTGTGTGCATGTATATATATATATACACCCATAGATTGATACCCCCCACCAGGGTTCATGTCACGCACCTGCCAGGTCGAGCTTGCAATGTGCCCTTCCACAGCAAGGACGTGTGGCTCAGTGCTTCATTGGTTCCATCCCTACGCCAGTGCAAGTTGGAGTGTGCCAGTCGGAACTTCTGCAGCTTGCAGGGAATGAAGCAGCGGATTTGGGAGGTCGGGGATGGTTGCGAATCCGTCCGCACGAAATGAATCCACGGTTGAAACAGAACAAAGAGTTTGCTCCGCTATTTACAGGCCAAGCGAATCATTGGTTTCCGAATGGTGGTGCGAATGATTTTGTCCATCCACAGAAGGGGTGGGGTTTTTCGGGGTACCCTGCGTGGCAATCTACGGGAACTTGTTTCTGAGGGCACCTGCCATGCCTCTTCGGGGTTCTTGAACAGCAGAAACCATTGCAGCCGCCAATTTCTGTGGCAGGTTTCCCCCGAGTTTGAGACAGCCGAGGACACCAACCACTGGGAAGCCCATTGTAACCCTTAGTTGACTCCAGTGCAAGAGACAACATGCAGGCTGTCTCGAATTGTTTGGAGCCCCCCTGCCATGAATGGGTTTCTTTGGGATTCCCATTGAAACAAGCCCAGGACGGGGCAGCAGCTCCAAAAACGAGGGTGCTGAACCTCCCAAAAAAAAGCCTCTTTCCCTGTTGTACAGTTGTCCCCAGCCTGGAGATATATATATATATACATGAGAATCGGGTTGCTGCGAACGAGACAACCAAACTTCGGACAAATTTGGACTCCCCGGACCACTCTTTTCGTTTGCCTTGGTTCCCGCCCTTCATAAAAGAACGGGTGTGTCTTTAGGAATCGGACCTCCCCAAAAAACAACATGGTGGGTTGGGGGAGCACCGAGCCTCAAAGAAGACACGCAAAAGTGCCCTCTGGTTCCCCCAAGGGACCAACTTCCTTTGGTGCTCGATTTGGACGCATGGGAGCAACCCACCTGGTGAAGATCCTAGCCTTTGAAGAGAATCCTAATGGGGCCAAGCTTATCTTTCTAAGTCGGCCAGGAGGCTGATGTTTTCTCCTGGGCCTGTTTTTTCCTTTCGGGGGGGGGGGTCCTTTTGTGAGGTTCGGGTAAGATGTCCAGTCTGTGGCAGATGGTTCATTTAGGAGGGGCATAGGAAAACTGACCAAGTGTGAACTGCCAACTTGTGGGCACCAAAGTGAAGCCAAGAGGGTTCCATATCTTACTTTGTGGCAAACCCACGTCACTCTTGGCTGCGAACTTAATGTGGGAAGCCACTGAAAGTGAACACTAATCCCAACCTAAATCCACCTGAAAGTTCCCGGTGGTTTCTCAAAATAGTGGTCGCTAAAAATTGTGGGTGTCCTTTTTTCCCCCAAAAAAAACTAAAGGGGGATCCACTATCTAAAGAAACATACACCCACATACTCCTTGTATCAGCTTCCCCCCAAGTGGTGGTTAGAATTTGTACTTTGGCGGTCTTCCGGGGGTAGTTTCCCATTTCCCTTCAAATCCAAATCCACCCCCTCCCCCAAAGGGGGAACCACTCTTACGAATTCAACTACAGACCCTGAAAGTAGTTGGACAGAAATCCCCACCTAAATCCACCTCAGGCAGGAGACAAGTTGTTTTGGCTAGGTCCCCCAGGATCGTGCCCTTCTCTCCCCTGTTTTGTTTGTGGCCAGGGTTGCCCTACAGGAAAAAAGAAACGGTACCAGCTTATTCTAAGCTCAAACTACTGGAGGACCGAATTCGTTGGGAAGCCGCAAGCTTCGAAGCTTCGAAGCCTGAGGCAAGGGCCTGTCCTTCAACACCACGGGCTGCCAGCTTTGGAGCCATCCTCAGGGGATCCAGGCGACCACCTCTCGATCCACGGCGGGGATTTGCGTCGGTTTTTTGGGGTTTTTCCCCAGCCGACAGGAAGGGGTTGTTAGATTCTATGTTGCAATCCGCGTTTGCGATGCTTCTACACCACGCCCCCACCCAGTATCCCGCCAGAGCAGCTCGCCAGTGGATCCCGCCGAGTATCCCGCCAGAGCGGCTCGCCAGTGGATCCCGCCGAGTATCCCGCCAGAGCGGCTCGCCAGTGGATCCCGCCAGAGCTCGCCAGTGGATCCCGCCGAGTATCCCGCCAGAGCGGCTCGCCAGTGGATCCCGCCGATCCCGTCGCCAGTGGATCCCGCCGAGTATCCCGCCAGAGCGGCTCGCCAGTGCATCCCGCCGAGTATCCCGCCAGAGCGGCTCGCCAGTGGATCCCGCCGAGTATCCCGCCAGAGCGGCTCGCCAGTGGATCCCGCCGAGTATCCCGCCAGAGCGGCTCGCCAGTGGATCCCGCCGAGTATCCCGCCAGAGCGGCTCGCCAGTGGATCCCGCCGAGTATCCCCGCCAGAGCGGCTCGCCAGTGGATCCCGCCCCCGCAGTCGCCAGTGGATCCCGCCGAGTATCCCGCCAGAGCGGCTCGCCAGTGGATCCCGCCGAGTATCCCGCCAGAGCGGCTCGCCAGTGGATCCCGCCGAGTATCCCGCCAGAGCGGCTCGCCAGTGGATCCCGCCGAGTATCCCGCCAGAGCGGCTCGCCAGTGGATCCCGCCGAGTATCCCGCCAGAGCGGCTCGCCCCGCCAGAGCGGCTCGCCAGTGGATCCCGCCGCCGAGTATCCCGCCAGAGCGGCTCGCCAGTGGATCCCGCCGAGTATCCCGCCAGAGCGGCTCGCCAGTGGATCCCGCCGAGTATCCCGCCAGAGCGGCTCGCCAGTGCATCCCGCCGAGCATCCCGCCAGAGCGGCTCGCCAGTGGATCCCGCCGAGCTCGCCAGTGCATCCCGCCGAGTATCCCGCCAGAGCGGCTCGCCAGTGGATCCCGCCGAGTATCCCGCCAGAGCGGCTCGCCAGTGGATCCCGCTGAGTATCCCAGAGCATCCCGCCGAGTATCTTGCTGAGCATCCTTTGCCGGTGGCTCCTGCCGAGTATCCGGCCAGCATCGAGCCGGAGCGGCTCGCCAGTATCTGCCAGTGGATCCCTCCAGTATCCCGCCAGAGCAGCTCGCCAGTCTGGTTTTGCTAAATGTCCCGCCCGGCGCACAGTTGGGTTTACATTTCATGTTGGCGCCTTCGTGTTTTGAGTGCACCCTGAGGCTCGGAAAGGGTGATGCTTTTGTGTTCCTTTGGGTTGTGAATAAGCAACTTCGTTTAATCCCCCGTCGGGTTTCTTTTTGGAAGGGGCTTGGCTTTTGTTAACGGAACCGATGTTTGAGTTCTCGAGATCGGCTCGCTGACAAGTGGCGTTTGACACACAGACAGGTGGATAAGGCTCTCAATGCAAAGCTTGTTGAGCAGTCATAGGCCCCAAGCCACTCGAAAACCATGCTTGAATTCAAACAACCGTGTTCACGGTCGTAGGCTCGTGAGTGTGGAGGGTGGGGATTGCTCGATGCGAAGATTTGTTTTCGTTGGCCGTCCCTTTTGCGCTTTTGCTCTTCTTGCGGGTTTGTTTTTGCTGTCACCTAACCCTTAAAGCTGTTTGTGTTTCTGTTGGGTTTTTTTGTTTGGTGCTTTGGCGCCTTGCCTGGGGCCCGAAACTGTTGGGAGGATGCAACTCCATTCGCACCGAGGCAGGACTCGAAGCTTCCGGACTTCGGGGGGTTGTTCCACGTTTTCAAGTTTCGTGGCAACCTGTTTGCTGTTACCCTGCAAGGGCTTCATGTTCTGGAAACAACCGCAGGGGTTGAGATTAAGAAGCTGATCCTTTTTTTCGCGCTCCGCCTTGGGGTAGACTTAGGGCCACTGGGTACGGCGCGCGCGAGAATATGGGGGTCTTTGCAGGTAACTTGGGCATAGCGCACAGAGGTTGGTTGCGGGTTTTGGGAACTCAGGCCCCAACAGAGAGGAGTTGGTTCAAAGGAAAAGCGCTTTGCACGACGGGGTTGAGTCGACTGCAACTTGAGTTCCTGCTTCTCGGAACCCGGAACACATGTGGCGGCACACGCTCGATCCCTGGAAGATGCCAAGCGCAACCTGACAGCTGTCCTGTGTTCCCCACGTTTGCTTTGGGTTTGCTCCAAAACCATCGACTTATCGGTTTTCGATTGGAGGTCCTTTGGCCTTCTCGGTCTCTGGTCATGCAGGGTGTTTGTTGTTCCTTTGTTTTTGAAACATGTACGTCTCAACACGTCGTCAACCACCAGAGGGCCGATGGCACTAATTATGTGTGTCACCATGTTATTCTTTGGAGGAGTCCGTTTGGGTGCCACCATACTGCGAACACCCACTCACATGTCCTCTTTGTGGACATGAATGCACAGACTACATGTTGGCAGAGGATCCTTCAGGCATTGTCTCTCAGATTCCGCTCTTGTGTTTGTTCCTTCCAGTCGATATGATATGATGCTTACGCCCTCCGGCGGCGAGTCTTCATGCCCTTGGACCATGCTTTCCTATAGTAGAGAACCCTTCGCCAGTTTCCTTTTGTTTTTTTTCAGGCGGGAAACCACTGAAGTTTCTCACTAAAGGTGGCAACCAAAAAGAGATCTCTCTCTTTTTGTACGCTGCCAGACTTTAAAAATTTACCTTGTTAGCTGTTTGCCGTTCAGGTTTTCCTCAATCGTCCGTTTCAGCCAGCAAAAGCGAAGTCTTTGCAGGGGGGCCGAGTCGGATCACTCTGGCAGACTTTTGGATCACTCAATTCAACTGGGAGGGTGGCATGTAAGGATCCGGCAGCACCTGCCTTCGGCATATGCCCTTCACCCTGGTGAACGGTAGCAAGGATCGAGCATGTCGTGGACTCAGCAGCAGCGACATCGACCCCAGCTACTATGCGGCCCGGCGTCAAAGACGTGGATTTCTCGCCGCCGTTTCTTCGCTCGGCTTTGATTTTTTGATGGGTCTGCCTATTTTATAGCGAGCTTGTTTGGGGGTGAAAACGAGCTTGGGGATCCCTTAAATCAGCTTGTGGACCTGCAGTCGATTTGCGTATGGGTGCAAGAAATAGGTTTAGTTCCGACTTTTTGGAACTTGGCGCGCTCGGGGACACTCCTTGGGCTCATCTACTTGGGGAAACGACCACACACCGTTTAATCTAGCAGAGTTCTATCTGGACAGAGTTCTATCCGGAAACGGACCGGCATGGGGGGGCCCAGTTGAAGGTAGAGGTCGACTATTCGGGTGACACAGTGACCTTTAGTGGCGAATTTCCAAAAACATGTCGGTCGGCACTTCTGAAACCATGGCTTGATTGGATTCTCCTCCATTTGCTTAAGATGTTTACTTCATTTTTCCTTGTTGGTCTTAACTGGAATTCATCACTACTGGACATATTTTCTCATTTTTTCCTGGGGCCTTAACCAAATGGAAGTTCTGGTAAAGGACAAACGACCTAGCTTGTGTTTCCGGCCATGTCCGGACTCTCCAGACGAATCATGCAAGCAACGTACGCATCGTGAGGGGGCAGCATGCACAAATCGATGCGTGTGTGTGTGTTGTTTGAGGGTACCCTTGTAAGGTTCTGTTAAAGGGACACCCAAGGGAAATCCGCCATTTTTGAGATCCCCCCCATTTTGACACAACCCCTGATGGCTCTGGAAAACATGAGAACCAAGACTGAAACCAGAGCAACTCACGCATGTTCAACCAAACAGACTAGGACAGCCAACGCCAGTAAACCAAGATTGAATCTCAGACTCAGATGGAACTGACCATGTGTGCTCTTGTTTTCCCATTTGTCCCAAACATCGATGGCTGGTCTCAAGGGCGTAAAGGCCCCTTCGACGTGGTTCAATTGGCTTTTTCCTTTAAGCCAGAAGGTCGGTCTCGTGACCGTTGCGGGCAGCCCAGGTGCCCCGTGGTGGAACCAACCCTGAAACCAATCCAACCCTCCGATCGGTTTGGGAAGCCAGTTGTTTCATCTTTCGGGGGGCGCCCATTTAAGGCAACCATGGAACTTGGGTCCCGACCCTCCTACCGCCTGAGGAAGCCACCGAGGTGTGGCGCAAAATGAAACCGCTGGGGTCTATGCAGGTCTTAATCCACTTGTCCATTTTCCAGGCTTCCACGTTGGGCCGATTCCTTCCTATTTTTGAGCCCTACCCGCCTCTCCAAACCAATCACTTCGAGAGCTGCTGATCGGGGCTAACTAAACCCTAAACCCCCGTAGGTCCCGCAGCCCTTCCGCCGCTTCGAGCGGCGCTGAGGTGGCGTTTCCTCTGTCGGAGGTTCCCTCCCTGGAGCTCTGCCGCCAGCGCTGCGCCTTCTTCGCGTCCGCACGCTGCACCGGGGTGGAGTTCAGTGCGTTGGGCTGCAAGGCGCGGTCGAAACGCACGAGGGGAGGTGAGTCCAGAAATGTGTTTTTTTGGTTTCCGGCGGATTGAAGTCTTGAAATGGGCATGGTTACCAACTTGTTTTGCGGGCGCCAAATTTTTGCGGTTGGGGATGGTTCAACTTTCTTTGAGGGCGCAAGATGTGTGCGGCATGTTTGCGGCTTGGTTGGTTTAGAGGCAAAGCAAAACCCGAAGCCATTTGAGAGGGGCCCCAACTTGTAAGACACATTTCAATAGAGCTACCAGCTCTAGGTGTCCTTTTGGCTGGGTTGATTCTCTATTGACGGCCAGGATTTGGCCAAATGTTTTTTTTGGAAGCGGGCGTCGCTGAATGAAATCTCCGGGCTTCCCGCTCGAAAAGTGTCCCGTTTCGGACTGGAGCAACATTCGAGTTGTTTGGTTTGGACCGTGGCAAATGGGTGTGGCTCAAAATTAAACGATCGGAGGGGCAGACCGCAGGTTTTGGTACCCATGTTTCCACTTACCAGGGTAACCCATTTTGGAATTCCGGTTTTTTGAGCCACAGCCAAATCAAAGGCTTGGTTGTTAAACATTGGACCTGGGAATCAAAGACGGGGTTCCCGAGCCAGATCTTCATGCTGGGATGAAATGATAAGCTGGTTGCTAGGATTCCATGGGGTTATCAACCCATGGGCTCATACCAGGTCTTCATTTTCCGCAGAGTTTGGCAACACGGGAGCTCAGGGCTGGTACCTGGAAGACCGATTCCCCCCCCCCTCACCGGTTGTTCCATGTTGGGATGGATTCCGCCTAGCCGGCGTGAGAAAGGTCTGGTGTAGTGCTGGCTGGGAACCAACCAACAAGTCAAACCTTTATAAAACCTGTCCTATGGTTGCCCCTCAAGCATGGCCCAAGTATGATCTCATGGCGTAGGCCGTCTGTACCGTTGCGGGGTCTCACCCCACAACATGGTCTCAATAACCTGAGTTCGAAGCACGCCCGAGAAAAATATGGGACTCTATATACTGCACCCTTCCTATTTAGGGTATAGACTCATGACACCAAGGAGCCCTTTTTCTGACAGTCTAACAGAATCAGACGAGTGCAAGTCTCTGTGCGGGTGTGTTTTTTTTGGGGGAGGAACCCTTTTCTGCTTGAGTTGGGACCAAAAGGAATACCGATGCCTTTTTGAGGGGGTCCGAATCCTAAAAAAGACGCACCCATATGGAACCCCCAGAATCTGCGGTATTTCATTTCCCGATGGATTCCTCCAAAAACCAACCCCACAAGAGCTACAACAACACCCCAAAAAAAACAACCCTCAAAAGCAACACACACACACACCAAAAAAAAAAAAAACAGAAGAAGCCAACATGTTGTACCCACCTTTTTTTAGCTCCATGTTCACCCCCCCCCCCAAAAAAAAAAACATAAATAAATAAGAAAAAAGAAGCCAAAAAAAGAAAAAGAAAAAGAAAAAGAAGCCAACACGTTGGACGCGCCCGTTTCTAGCTCCATGTGGGACACGCCGTTCACGGCTCAGGTCTGGACCCGGCCCCAGGGCATCCAAGCCACGGAGAACGTCCCGGGGGCCATCTGCCTGCGCCACGGGCCTTTGGATCTGGCGCTGACGCCCGGAAGCCGAAGCAGTGAGCGGGTTGCGGAAGCAGTGGGCGTCTCCCTTGACGGCGATTGGGTGGGACTTGTTTTTTGACCTTAGCTTGGGAAATGAAGGCGTTTTCTACTCGACCCCCCGAAAAGTCGAGCTTTTTGCGGGGTCCACAGCAACCAAGATCCGACCACTTTTTTTTTCTCAGATGCAATCACTTGGAGTGTATCCGTCACATGTGGTTGATCACTTGGTTGATATCTTCGGGAATCTCCCCCCAAAAATTATGGGCGGAAATGTCTTTGGGAAGCCCTTTTGTTGTATCACGGAAGTGGAGTCCATCTCCCACAACCCTGGCTGTGCTCGTTGGTTTTTGGTGTTTTTTTTTGCGTTTTGCGGGGTTCCGAGCCATTTCCTTCTTTGGAACCACCAAAGTCGGGGTTTCCCAGCCATGTCCTCAGGGAACCACCCAAAATGCTTTACAAGTTGGGCTTCGGTGTGCAAAGTTCTTGGGTTTAAACTGCCGTGGCCCTTCCCCGCGATCGTTTCAAGGGAAGCCACCCGTGAATTGATCAACTTCTGAAGGGAAAATCCAGTGACCCTTCTCGTTTTGTCTCACTAGCCGACGTTCAGTGTATGTTCAGTCAACTTCATTTTAGCTGATTTGCCGTGAATAGAGCTTTTGTAAACCTATATGTTAGTTTCCTTGTTTAGTTTCCGTGTTTGTTGCCGTAAATGCCTTCAAATGTCCAGTGCTATACCTTGGGTTCTCCGAATGATTTTTGGAGGATCAAACCTTGTGCCACTATTTGAAGAGTAAGTTTGCGAGCGTCGCTAAAGAATGGACTCGGCCACTGAATGGAGGGAATCCAAAAAGAGGCTCAGCAGGAAACTCCTCCCCACATGGGTGTTTTACCGGTGCCGTGCAACTTCTCAGGAGGGTCCTGCTATTTTGTTGGTTCGCCTCATTTTACCCTACCAGCAATGGTGGAAGTGCACAGGCGCCATTTGTCAAAAAGACAACAAGTCTTGCAAAACGGGCTTGTGCACTTCCATGTTTGTTGGTGGGAGGTTACATGATATAATGTGTTGGCCCAGCTCAGCAATCCAAGGATTCTTTTAGATTATTTTTGAAAAGGGATACAAAGGAAACCAATCCAATTCCATGTTCTGGCCAACTCCTATCATTCACAAACTGGAAAGAAGGAATGTCCCCAAAACAACAAAAAGAAAACTGGGGGGGGCCCGCTTTCAGGGCTTTCGCTGGTTTGGCCAGAGCTTGTTTTGAAAACGGGTTCAAATTGCTGGGATGGTTCAAAGTCACTCCTTCCCTTCTGCCAGGTGGTTCCTAAATCCGATCCCCCGGTCAGCCCGCATTGAACGATGTCCACTTCGATGGAGGGGTGACTGTCATGTAATCCTATGCTTAGCACAGGCTGATTCAGGGACAGACCCAACCTCCGAGGTTCTTGGCAGGCCACTGGGGCCATTGAATATCACCATGGGGCGGTCTGGTCGTTCTCTTGCACAAATATGATGCTCGCAGGAACTGTGTGCGGGATGCTCCATCTCTAAAGGTGCTCGCATCACTGTCTGACAACAATCTACCCAGGTCAAGCTCATGTGAAAATGGATCAGTGAAGGAATCAACAAACGTCCAAATCAAAGTTTGAGGTGTCCAAGATCCAAAGGAAACCAACTCCTGCTGTACCCTTTTGGGGTTCCAAGACACACCCATATGGCCGTGGGTCAACACCAATGGTACCATTTTGGTTGGTAGGTGAATTCACCACCCATTTTAGGACCTATTTTAGTGGTTGGATTGGGATGTTCACTGGGGGGTGACCGGGGTTTTGACCCATAGCCATATCCTATGAGACAACCTCTGCTTTGCAACCAGACGCCTGGAGCCATGAGGAACGCAGCGGCCTTCAAGCCCGCGGACGGGGGCGTGGGCCGCGCCTGCCGGGGCGACAATGAGACGGACAACTCCGCGAGTGCTTGGCCTCTCATGGTTCCGGCGGAACGAATGTGGGGGTGGGTGGGGGTGGGTGGGTGCGGGTGGGTGTGGGTGGGGGTGGGTGCGGGTGTGGGTGTGGGTGGGGGTGGGTGGGTGTGCGTGGGTGGGTGTGGGTGGGTGTGGGGGTGGGGGTGGGTGGGGGTGGGTGGGTGTGGGTGGCACCCGAGGGGACAAACGTCGACAAGTTTCTGCGACACTTCAGCACAGGCCTAGCGCATCACGTGAGTCGCAGATTTTCTGCCCACACAGCATGAACCGTTGCCTTTTCAATGCAGGAGCCGTTGCTTGATGCGCACGCTTTCCGGCCAGGAAACACGGGACACTAGGTGCGGAAACCACCCTTGATGGATTCATCATGGACGCACCTTTGATGCAATCTTGTTTGTCACGGGCCTCATTGATCGACCGTGTCGCCAGCATAGACGAGTTCGTTTGCGGGAGCAGCATTTGAGGGGGAACACGAGTACACGAACCCATCGCCCCTGCGTGGGGTTGGGTGAGTGTGTGGGGTTGGGTTGGGGTGGGGTGGGGCAAGCAGAAGTAGGGACATGTGCCTTGAACTTCCAAGCTGCTGTGATGGCTTCTCTCCTGAATGTGTGTCGGTACATAGCTATACTTGTATATGATGTACTCATGTCTTATCGAAATATAGACAGGTATTGATGTCTGGGAAGGGGGACATGGGCCGAGACAGGCGCAAGAGCGGCTTGAGGCACATCCAGCAAGCAAGTTGTGGCATTTGGCAGTTGCGGAGTGTGGTGGGGGGGTGGGTTGGGTGGGGGATTGGGTAAAGTTGGGCTAGGGAACTGTCCAAGCCAACCTAAACTATTCCTGTTGCCCAGTGGGCTCCACTCTTTCAACTTCTTTGGCGGGCGTTTCCCAACAAAACAGCTACCCAACAAACGGGAACCTTTTCTCCACCACCAATGGGCCGGGTTTCCTTCCTAGTTTCACTCTGGATAAACAAAAGTAACTTCGCACCAGCTGGCAGGGCAGGATTCATAAGGTTGCTTCCGCGCGAACTGGTGCGAAGCAGATGTTTCATATCTGCAGCAGCTAACTGTTATTGGTTCGCTTTAAATCCAGCTACTAGGAACGGTGCCCTTCTGCACGGCCACTGGGTGCTCTTTTCTGAGAGATGGTCGGTTCATGAAAAATAGTGCCCTTGTTGAACCGACAACGGGGGGAGTCATCTCCCCAAACTAAACAATGGAGGGTCAAGACTGAGTTCTACAAGCTTGTATGATTGTTCAATACTCGTACAGAAGGCTGATTTCAAAAACACGGGCCCCATGGCGGGCCGCTCCCTAATGATGTGGGCAGGGTTTTCCAACTTCAGACTCCGTAGGCGCCCGTCGTTGCACTCCATGCACTGGAGTCAACCTGCATCATTGTGGGCCTGCCGTGGTGGAACCCTTTTTTTTGGTTGTTGCGAGGAAATCGAAAGGAAGCAACCCATGTTGGTGGAGAAACACCCATATACCTAAATTATGTTTCCACAAAAATGTTTATAACCAATGCGTGCAGAACTGCTTTATCAATTTCCGTAGAACCACGCCCGGCGATGGCTAAAAGAGGGGCACGGGAAATCGTGAGGTCACTACACCCTCTTTTGGGCGGCGCCGGAGAATGAGTCCATGAGCGCGTGCCAGGAGCGATGTGCCGGACACCCAGGTTGATGTGCCGCACGGGATAAGGGCAAGGGCGTGGCTCGTACCCCTTTGCCAGTGGATCCTAAAGAAAGGAAACTAAAGTTTTGTTAAGCTCAGTGAACAGTTGCAAGTTCCGAGCCGCAGCTGTTAAAATGCACTTCGTTTACAACCTTCAAGTAGGCGAACAGTGAGTCATTGATTTTGGAATAGCCTTACTGAATGTTTGGGCCAGATGACTTAAAGTCATGTCTTGTCATCCGTGCAGCAAATAGGTCAATCAGAACTAGACTTCCTCATGGCTGCATGTCAAGATTGCACACCTAAAGACTATTCCTGGTTTATCTTTGAGAGTAGCACCTTCATGGAAACGATTGTTCCACAAGCCGTTCTGGCCGCATCGTTCTTCTGAGCCTTTTTGGGGGCAGCTTGTTTGACCACAGGCTTCTTATTGTGGGTGGTGGGCGTGTCTCAAAATCTAGGGGCAGGCAACTGGCGATTTGAACCCCGTTGAAAGAGTAGTGTTGTTTTTGGAGCAATAAGCCTGTCCTACTAATCTTGGAATGTTCCCTCCAAGAGTGACGAATCCCAAGAAATTGGAACGCGCCAATCAAAATCAACCAGGGTTTATTGTTCATCCGGGGTTCCCATCCATTGAGGAGTGGCAACAGCTATGGTGGAATGCGCAGAGATGGGCTGAAGGGTTGGCTCAACTTGGGGGGGGCTTGGCCCACAAAACGGAGCGCCGAAAAACAAAAGCAGCAAAAGTGAACCGATTCTTCTGGGGATAGTCTCAAAGCTTCAGATGGAATGAGGGAAACAAAAAGTATCAGCTCGATTTTGCGCCCCCCCCCCCCCCCATCCCTACCCCCCTCCCTACCCCCCTCTCTACCCCCCTCTCTACCCCCCTCCCTACCCCCTTCCCTACCCCCCTCTCTACCCACCCCCCTTTGTTCAAAGATAGTACCACAGCTGGTGCCGGGTGGCGGGTAAGATATGCTCAGGTCCGCACGCCTGGGTGCAAGGGCATCGAGTACCGCTTCGGCGGCTGCGAGGTGTGGACGCCTTCGAACGGCATCCAAGCCACGGTCTTCGGGGGAGACAGGACCCATCGGGGACCAAATGAGGTGCTCGGTTTGGAGGTTTGTCTCGACTATGCCCTTTTACCCTTTTTTGGGGGAGGGTTCCCCTACTGAAATAGACTACAGAAAAAAGGGTACCCTTATTCTAACCTCTCTGCTGGAGGACCTAGTCAAAGTCGGGACCCACCAAAAGGCGCGGCTTGGTGTCCTGGTGGTGTCTTTGAAAACATGTTGAAATCAGTTTTTGTTTGTAAGGGCGCCCTCAAAAACGACAAAATGGTGTTGGTGAAAGGGAAACCAACAGGGCTCCATTTTTCATGCCTCAAAGTAAACCCCCACAACACCCGAAACCCCAAGCTTTATCGGAAAGGCAGAGAATGAGACTTGCTTCGTGTTTGCTATGGGCCCAGAGTTCTTCCGCTTAAAAAAGTCTTGGGCGCCTTGCAGTTGAAATCCGGGATCTGTTTCTTGACCCGGCAGACAGCCAAGGAAGTTCCCTGGAAACTCACCTTTTGGGTTTAAGTCCACCTTCGTCAAAACATGGAATGGTTGAATCGCCCTTTCATGGACGCCAGAAAACAACTTCCCTTAAAGGGACCGAAGCGACATGGTAGGATTTCCAACTTGATGTTCAACCAAGGGTCTCCGTAGGCGACAAGGATGCCAGGTCGTCCCCAAGCTGTTCCAGGGGACCTTGCCCTACTGAGTAGGCCAACGTTCGACTGTCCATTCTGTAGATGTTCCTTATCATTCTCGAGGATCTCAAACAAAGCATCTTGGGACCTCAAAAAGGCACATTTTGAGGTCCCAAGCCTTTCATTGGATCTCCAGACGTCCAATGGAGGGTCCAAGGCTGCTTAGGCCAAACATGGGGACCAGAACATGATCGGTGGGCAAATGTATGAGAAAGCCTCGTAGAAGTCTCGAACGGTTTTGTTCGTATGGAGGAACAAAACATGGGCTTCTGCGTGCTTGAAGTGGAAAGGCAACATCACCCAGGGTTTGCCTCTTGACACCCCTTGTAGGCAACAGGGGACTCTATGGATTGACGAGGGGCAGCTTTGCCAAGGTTTTGTGGTTGAGACTCATCCCGAGTGGGACTACAGTAGGTTCCTTGACCTTTGAGCGATGGGGGGGTCAAGTCAAGAGGCAAACCACGACCTCGAATCACGTCCAGTTTGCATTTGGACTTGTGGCTTTGGGAAATCATCTTGGCGCGAAACAGAAAGTTCTGACTTGCTTGGGACTTGCATTAAGGAAGGGAATCAAATATGACGCGAGACCCCAGACATGTCACTTAAACCCACACACACACACACATACACACACACACGCAAATGGAAGAGCCTGGAAGATTGCTGCCCATTTGGGCCATTTGGTTGGAAGTAAGAGTTGCAAAAATTGAGTTGGGCAACCAGTTGCCCTTGGCTTGCCGGAAAAGCTTGCTGGTGCTCAGTAGGGAATGTGGCAATGAACCCAGGGATTCCCTTAAAGGAAACCACAGGGGATGGTTTAGATCGGTCATTCCCGCATTCCCTGCTGAGCACCAGCAAGAGAAAGGGAAAGCTACTGGAGTTTGTATGTGCCGTGCGGCTCAACCGTGGAACCAGCCCCTGAGGACATGCCTGCACTACCAGCCCTTTCAGACCCTAGATGGCTGCTTCAGCTGAATGATTGCTGTGCGGTGGTGTGTTGTCATGTGGCCATTTTTTAGTATTGGGGACCCCCAAAACTGATGTGTTCCTTTGGGGGGTTCCTTGAAAACCAACCAAAGGGGGGGAGTACCCACAACAAAACACGACACCTCCATTTGTTTGGTTTTGCTGTTGTGGCTCGTTTTTGTGGCTGTGACATAAAGGAGTCCAAAACCACGCGACAAGAGGTTCTCAGCAATCACTCCGCCAACTTTCAGATGCCCCTGCTCCCATCTCTTTTGGCTTTCGGCCAACTTGTTCTGGACCATGTTGCCAAGGGCTCCGTGTATCTTTTAGGGCGGTTGGGATGCCAACAACAAGCGAGGATGCGATCGACCAAGGGGCTGGTGGTTGGCCTCGAATGGAACCCATCAGTTGGATAGCTCGGGGCGTCCCCCACTGAGTTTGTGACATGTCATCTGCATGTGTTTTGTATCATGTTGACATGTTGTCGTAAAAAATATGTGGTCTAGGTCCCCCAGTAGTGCCCTATCTCACCCCTTTTTGGTTGGGAGGGTTCCCCTACTAAAATAGACTCCAGAAGAAAAAAAATCGGGTACCCTTATGCTAACCTCTCTGCTGGAGAACCTAGTGGCGCAATTCTTCCGTATCGACCTGTTCACAGCGGCAGCGGCGCCTGTGACGTGTTTTTTGTTACCGTTGTTTGGTACAGGTGGCACCTGTACCAGGACACGTCGCCAAGAAACTGAGTGAGTATGTCTAGCGAAAAACGGACCAAGCTGCGCCTAAGTTTCTTGGTTCCCAGCCATCCGCCTAGGCGTTTAGGCTTTTAGTTGGTTGAGAGCGGCTTTCCTTTTAGACCCACTAAAGGTTCAGATTTTAGCAAAGGATCAAGGTTCGTCCGCTTTCCTCCTTCTCCTTGTTTGTCTCTTGGGCGTGCCCGGAATGCTGTCGGCGTTGTTTTTTGTTTGTTTGTTGTTTTTTTTCGTGTTTTTTTTCTCCACGTGAGAGGTGTTGACCCTCCGTGTTGATCGTTGTTGTTTGGTCTTTTACATCAGCTTGTGATGGTGCCATGCCTTTGGTGTAGCGGCTGCTTTTCAAGCTTTTCAAGCTTTTCGCTGGCAAGCTGTGCTCGCCGATGTGGTGCGTTCGCCTGCGAGTGGCTCCAACTCTGATTCGAAGCAAGCCATGAAGCCCCATCTGGGCCGTGGCCGGTTTCCCCCCCCCCCAAAAAAAAACATGATGATTGTTGGGTACTTAATGAGTGTTCATGGTGTAGGGGTTCGGAACAGGAGCTCCTGGGCAACATGTCGCAACCTCGCAAAGGGGGTTGCGACCTGTTTCAATGTGGGGAGTTATACCTCAGATATGTGCGGAACGACTCGGGATTGGGGCTGTTCATGGACAGTCAAAAAGGGTTCCTACTACTGGGCACCCCTGAAGAAACACACCTGGTCGATTTTCATCGGGAAGTGTCTTCTTTTTGGTGGGGGTTCTTCACTTTTGGAGGGAAGAACCCTATCCATCCACCCATCCACCCATCCCATCATCCAACCCCATCGATCCCAATGGCACGGGCTCGATCTTCTTATCCGGGTCAACAGTAAGGGTGCAAGAAATGCTCGAGATCGAGAACTTGTTTGGACATCTCATCTCAAAACTAAACGACTGTGGCGTTTGGAGATCGGAGGCTTCGACGATCGGGTCTGCCGCGGAGCCAACATCTCGGACAGCGACTTGGCATCGGTTGCTGTAGGAGCCACATGCCTTGGTTGCTGTTGGGTTGGATCTTTAGACTGTAGCTTTTTAAATTGAAATATTTTGAGTTTTCCTTCGACCCCAGAAAGCGTCGAACTTTTAACGGGGTCGAGGGCAACCAAGCATGGTTGTGGAAATCGGGTTTCGGGGCCGGCTTTCTTTTGATACCAAGGGAAGTGCCTTTAAGTTGACAAAGTAGTCATGGAATGAACCATGTTGGTATCACAAAGAAGGCAAAAACACAAAACCATGGCCAAATGCGAGCAGCGTCAAATTCCAGAGAATAGTGCAGGATAGATATTGGAGGTATGGAGCTTATGTACCTCTTACATAAGTTGAGTGTATTGCCTGACAAGCTTGTCTGGGGTGTGTACAAGTATCCATACCTCCAAACACCATACCTGAACATGTTGAACAAGTTGTGGCTTGTCTTTGGTTGGTATGTCATTGAGAAAAGTCAGGAAACCAAACCAAGCGCTAGGAATTGAAGCCGGCGAAAACCTTTCGAGCAGAGCTTTGGCTCGCTCGCTCCCTGAAAAGAGAAGGTGCCCAAGTTCAATTGCGTTGGCCTGTTTTAACAGGGAATCCCGTTTCGTTCAGGCTTTTCAAGGGAAAACCAAAAGGAAACCACTCCCTTGTAGGGACGAGTCCCTTCTGAGTCACACACTCTCTTCTTGAGTGGATTAGCCAGACAAAGTCCCCAACTTTTGGTTTACCACTAACATGGTCCCAACTGGACCCCACTTGAGCAGCGACATCCCTAAACTGGCTTTTGCTTTTGGGTTGTCCCAGGACTGCTCCAGGGCGAACCCAAAGATTGGCGAGCATCGCCGATTATTGTTTGGTGTGTTGGTTCTAATTGTGAGATGTTGTGTTTGTGCAAAGTCAAAATGTTAGGTTCTTTTCTCACCTACCATTTGATTGAACACGTTGGTCATATCATTGGGAGGGGATTGCGTGTTCCCTTTGTCAGTTCTCCAAAACCTTGTATTTCTGGATCCCTTCAATTTTTCTGGATTCCTTTTGGCTTCTGTTTGGGTTGCCTTTCAAGTTTCTGTTCAGTCCTGTTAGTTTTCCTTTACATTTCCTACCAGCTTTGCTTTTGGGCTTTCGTTCCCTTTCCTCCAAAGGGCGTCGTCCTTTTGGGTTTGGAAGGTTTCCGTTCGGGCTTCCGGAAAAGGGTTGCCTTCAAGTGTCTTTTCAGGTGTCCATTTGGGTGTTCTTTTAGGTTTCCTAGCATGTTTGCTTTTTTAGGATTCCTCTCGGGGGTCCTTGTGTTGTGGGCTTCTGTGGGCTTCTGTGGGCTTGCTAATCAAGTTTTTTTTTTCCGTTTGGATTTTTTCTCAGGTTTCCTTTTGGGTTTCCTCTCGGGCTGTCTTATGGGTTTGCTTTTGGGCTTCCTCTTGGAATATCTTTCGGCTTGCCTTTGATACATCCTTCTGGGTGTTCTTTTCGGTTTCCTCCCGGGCTTCCTTTTGGGGTTTCTTTTGTCGACCTCAAGCCCCCCAGTCCTGTCAACCCCGGCTTCCTTCTGGCCGCGCGCTAGGCGTTAGAAACAGCGAATCGATGCACAGGGCAGGAAGCTTGAACATGGCCCCATGAATGTGGCAACCGAGCACGCGTCTTACATCGAACGCCATGAGTGGCTTTCCAAAGCTGGGAATCGCGTCGTTATACATTTCCAAGGCTTAAGCGCAAGCAGTGCTGGTTGATGCAGGGCAACGCTCCCAGCCCAGACAGGCAGCTGACGCTCAACGTGGGAAAGCCAGGGAAGAATAGAGTGGTAAGCACGCAGGGCTCGCAGCTTCGAACGATCGCTCTTGTCAAGCGCGTTGCTGGAATACGTCAGAGCATAAAATCTAGTTGCGAAAACTCGCCGGCCATCCGGCCGATCGTCCCAAGGACAGCGCTACTTGACAAGACTTGAGCATGTCCACCAAGCTGAAGCAAGTTCTTGCCGCAAAAAGTTGCCATTATCCTCCAAGCCCTAAACCCACCCTGCACCAGCCAGAAACCCACCCAAGCCCACCTGAACCAATCCTTAAGCCAACCAAAAGCACACTCTGAACCTGCCCTCCTCCCCACCTTAAACCACCACCAACGCCACACCGAACCCGCCATAACAAACCTCAAGCCAACCTTAGGCCCGCCCCAACACCCTACACCCACCCTAAGCCCACCCACACACCAACCAACCTTAAACCAACCTTAAGCCGGCCAAAAACCAACCCGAAACCAACCCTCGCACTACAGTATTCGCACCACAGACCCTCGAAGCCATCATAACAATCAACCAACCAACCATAAACCCATTCTTGTCTCCCTTTCGGCGCCCAGGTTCCTTTGGGGGTCCTTTCTCAGGCTCCCTCTTGGCTTCTTGCGGGCTTCATGGTAGGTTTCCCTTTTGGGCAGCTTTCTTTTGAGTTTCCTTTCAAGTGTCCTTTTGCTTCTTCTTTTCTTTTTTGGCGGGGGGGGGGGTGTCCTTTTGAGCCTCCCTTCGCGTGTCCTTTCGGATTTCCTTTCAAGTTTCATGTGGGTTTCCTTTCGTGCTTCCTTTTGTGCTTCCTTTTTCTCTTCCGGGTTCCTTTGTGATGGAGAGTGATCAAACGCACGGCGTTTTACGTTTTGTTTTTTTGTGACGAAAACTCGGGTTTCCCTGACGGCTTTCTCAGCTTCAAGGCGAGAGCTCCTACTTCCTGCTCAAGCCTCCGAGCGAGACCCCTACGCTGGAGGCCTGTCAGCGGGCCTGCATGGGCACCCCCGGCTGCAAGGCGGGTCGAACTGAGTCGCGTTGTTTTTTTTCTTTGCGGGTTCGGACGCGGAAGGACCTGAACATGGAACGGCAGGTGAGGAGGAAGAGGGGTTTTCTACAAGAAAATACTAGCAACCAAATGGGGACGGTGGTTGAATTAACCCCATCAGCCTGCCGGTTTTGTCATCTCCTGTGCTTGTCGGCATGAAGGGATTTGTGCCATCTACTCTTACCTTGGTGGGCGGGTTGGGTTGCCACTTGGTTTGTTTATCTACAGCAAATTTTGACTTTCAGGGACCCCCCCCTCGTCTGGTTTCAAGTTTGTGTGAGGCCCCAAAAAAAGTGCTCTTTTCCAAACTAGACTGAGGCATTCATGGCATTCATGTCTGCACATGGGCCTTTCATAAAGTGGAAACCCCAAGACAGATTCCATCTCCGCCGGCAAACGGGGCTGTAATTCCTCGAAGCCTCAGTTGACGACTCCGTGTTTGCCGGTATAGGCTCACACGTGCCTAGAAATTCACTCGGCAAAAGCCATAAATCCGACAAAGGGAGAGACCACAAAGACACGAGAGGTATATGTGTGTGTGTGTGTTGTTTTGTGGCGCGTGTGATTTTCATGTTTTATGGGGTGGCGGAATCCAAAGGAGAACGATTTTTCAGCCCAAGGCGTAACCCTGCAGACAAACTCCAATATTTTGTTAGCTGCCTGGAGCATGGAGCTTTGAAATGACATCATCGATGAACTTAGATCAGTTGTCATTCAAAGTATCTCCCAAATCTCGCTCCAAACGACAATCCCACTCCAACAAATACGTGTTCTGAAAGGTTTGAAGGCTAGTGAAAAGGTGGTGCTGCCTTACACTGAAGCACAAGCTCATGTGAGAACGCTTCGCTTATCCCGAAATGAGTTGATGTTGCAGGGGCCTCAATCTTTTTTTAATGTGACAGTGTGTCTTTCCTGGGCACCCAACCCCAAATTATGGTTTTCCTTTTCAGCTTTCACCGAGAGTTCCTCTGAATGCGATCGTTGGGCCCTGCCATGTCGCCGGCCCAGGGCATCGAATTCCGCTCCGGCTGGTGCGAAGTCTGGACCCGGCACCTCGACCCCGGCCCGGTTTTGGCGCCCGGAGACGGGTGGAAGTTCCACATCCTGTTTGGGTGAACCCGCCAACTGGAGAGACATTGGAGTCAAGTTGTATCACACATGACGACCGAGTCAGCTTAGGAAAACAAGGTTCTCGCGACCTAGCGCCATTTCGGCCGCAACCTGCCGATCTTCGGAAAGGACCTCCTTCGGGCAGGAAGCCGACGCGATTGAGGTGACCAAGGGCAAGATCACCCCTTGGAGTTCCGCAAGGAAGTTCCCCCAGGATGGGGACCAGGCCTGGACAAGTACCCCCTCAAGCTCTACTTCGCTAAGCTGAAGCTCTGGCACCGGATCTGCGACTGTCCCGAGGTTGTTGGGCCAATGATGGCAGGCCGGTTGGTCGTTCGAGCGCAACGTATAGCCCTTGGAGCTGAAGCTCCCCAGACCCGAGGGCAGCGTCGATTCGGGCGACGCAAAGCGCATATCATACAGCACCAGCCACGGAGAAACCTTGGCGGCCATCAGCGCCCTGGAGCGTGCTACCCTCATCAGTACGCGCGTGACCGAGATCACCTACGGCGACCGCAAGCCCACGCTGCAGCAGTTACTTCGTGTTCAAGAACAAGGAAGCAGGACCTTCCCAGTAGATGTGCACACAGACTGCCGAGATTTCTTCGAGCTCAGCACCGGCATTCGCACGCTTCCGCAGGACAAGAGCCAGGGACTTTACGTGCTAGCGCATCGTGAAGCACGAGCACATGGGCGAATTCGTTGGATGATTCTCACACCCACGAAGTGCATGACCGCGGACGCGCTCACCAAGACCATGCGAAGCGACTGCTTGCTGCATTGGCTGAGCGCAGGCAGGCCATCAAGCTCGAGATGAAGCGATTGCCAGACATCAACATCGAGGAGGTCGATGAAGAGGACCTTCTGCAGGGCGACAAGGCGCTTGGAAAAAAGGTGAAGACCATTGCACATCCTGTGCCCTGGGCCCTTGCCGGAATATCCAGGAGCATGCTCCTTCTGAGCATGGCGTCAATGTGATGACCACCAGCATCGCCATCTTGATGGACAGGAAATGTTGCCGGAAGCAGAAAGAGAACACCACAACGTGGACTGTACATAACGCCACATGGCAACTGCTACCAGAAGCAGCAGTGCAAGCATATCAAGAATAGGAAACATGTACAGGCGTATCCGCCATGTAAAGATTGCTCAACATCCAGAGCATGAAGCGGAGTCAAATTGTATCACACATGACGACCGCCGTAGCCGGCTTGAGTCAGCTTAGGAAAACAAGGTTCTCGCAACTTTGGGGGCTTTATACAAAGAAGTTTGTTCAAAGACCGTTGTTTTTGCTGGCGTCCGGAACGGCCCCACTCGATCTACAAATATTATTGTTTTATTGCTTGGGGTCGGGCGGGTCATGTTTCCCGTCCGCAGCCGCATTGTGTTCGGGGGGGGGGGTAATTTTCAACCCCGCTGCAACTGCGTGCATGCTTGCAGGCTGTCCTTTTGCGAATTGACCTCCCCGTCCCAGCCTGGCGCTGTGGTTGCAGATGCACCGGGAGCACTGCAACCAATTGGTGTCTGCTGGTTGGTTGGGCGAGCCTGCGCTGAACTTGCTCTTTAGGTGTCTCTGTCCATTGTGGTGGATCAGCGCCGGTGACCCTGTCATTCGACGTCTTGTCTTTGTCTTCGCCGTGGCCGCGTTGGCGCTCTGCTTTGCATGGCGTCGTGGAAGCGGGCTTGCGATCTGTCTGGGTGTCTTTGGCGGGCACGCTGCTTGCGTTGTCTCGACATTTGCTTGCGGCCCGCTATAACGCGTGGAGGACATCTTCTCAGAGGCCACGCGCAACTTGCGTGGCTTCTGCCAGGACAACGACAGAATACTTTCTTGGCAGCGTCGCCAAAGGTTATACTGGTTCTTGAGAGCTCCGCGCTTCACCGGTGCCTTTACGGAAGTTTCTGCGCCGGCCGAGACGCCCTCTCAGCACGGGAGCATGCTTAAGGCAATGTCTCCTCCCATCTGTCTTGGGAACATCAAAGTCTGCTGCGCTGATCTATCTTCCACACTTGCCGACTCAGTCAGCACAGCATGCTTCCACGGAAACACCGCCGGCGCTCAGGCGAACCTCCCTCGGCATGTCCACGTAAAAAGAGGCGGAGATCGGTGGTGCTTCCCCGACACCGAAAAACGCAAGGGCGAGGCTTTGTCTTTTCCCAAGTTGGACCAGGACGGTTTCTGAGTGAAGCCCCGGCGGCGCGAGCAGTGTAGGCGTGGCTGCTTGCTTGGCCCTTTCGATACCTACAACGTTTCGGCGCCTAGTGCCCGCCATTCGCAGTGTTGATTTGTTGGTGCATTCGCGCGGCGGCGTGCGAAAGATTGTGATCGCATGATGTAGTTTCTTGCTTCAGGCAACGTTCTTCTTGCCGACAAAGGATGAAATCCGTGGTTGCTTTCAAGCTCCTGCGTGTGCCGGTGACTATTTTGCGTCCAAGCCCCAGGACGGACACAGGATTATAATCTCACTCGGCCAATCAAACCTCGTTACTCTGTGTAGAAAGGACCGCCCCAAACAATATCTGCGTGTTCAGCGCAAGACAACATGTTTCTTTCAACCCTTGACAGCACGAGCTCTTCGACAATTTCAGCCGCCGTGTGTGAAGCAGAAGCCACTTGCGCTGACATCCGTCGCGTGTGCCTGTTACTAGGCCTCGATGGCTGTGTGAAAGTGACCGTTGCGCACACTGGCAGCGCACTTGCGGATGCCGGAGGCATTGGCTTCCACATTCCGCATAGTCAAAGCGTCTGCCGCTGCCTTTGGCCCCGGACGGCCTGGCCGGGAAAGGCGACGGTGGCGCTGCGCTCTCCAGCTTTTGCAGCAAAATGTGCTGCTCAGGTGCGGCTGTGAAGTCTTTCCAAAAGGAAAAGACCACACGCTGCACACAGATGGCTGCAAAGCTGGGCTGCGCCGCGCGAGAGCAGAAAGTTGTCTCACAAGTCAGTGAAGCACTCTCGCATGAAGTTTGTCAAATGAGACACGCATCCTTGCAGAGCGGTTTCATTTGGACCCAGCAAATAGATCGCCTTTCTTTGGAGTCCTTGAAGGCCTGGCTGGGCGCTTCCTTGCGCGCAAAGAAAGAACAGAGCCTGTAATGAACGCCTTGAAACTTACGAAGTTCCAGTTTTGCTTCAACGCATTCTAAAAGCACAAAGTAGCGCAAACAACACGCTTTTTGGTGAACCTCCGACAACGTCGGTGCACCGTTTCCTTCGTTTCGGCCCAGATTGTCCATGAGAAACCACAGAAAACAGCGGGGCAACTAACATGGATGCCTGTTTATTTCCTTAAGCCCTATACTTCGACGTCACCACCCCTGACTGGTTTTGCAAGGTAGTTCGGAAGGACCTTTGCATATCCTGTTCAAGTTTTTCGTCCAAACGCCATCCAAACTTTGGCGTCCAGGGACCCAAAAATGTATCACACCACCGCAAAGCACACCAGTTACCCATAATAAGTTCAGGGCATTTCTGGAAACGTGCCAAACTTTCACTTGGTTGGATTGGTCAAGAGTTCAAATGGTTTCTTCAGTTGTTTGCTGGTTCGATAGGCAGACAATGAGGAAACGAAACTGAACCCCCCCTTTATGGGTCTGTCGTTATTAAGGTTGGACCCACCCAGATCCCAATCGGTTCATTCCTACCCCGGAAGTTGATTCCCTCGCAGCAAAATGTGCTTTGATTTTTAGGCCCCCATCATCATTCCCACCCCGAAGGTGGATTTAGACCCCGAAGAAGTTCGAGTCAGAGACTCTTTTGGTTCGTCAAAGACTTCACAGTACTGCAAGGGGGTCGCATGTTTGCGCCATACTTGTCCCGATGGTTTAGCACTTGTGGGTTCAGTCCATTTTTGTTGGTCGGCGTGACCTGGTTGATTCAGACACTATTGTTGATGGACACCAACCAATTTTTGGGCATCATTGAATGGACCTTCTAAGATAACCCTCCGATTTGTTCCAACCCGTTCAATTTTCAACGCCTCTTCAGCTTAGCGAACCAACCCATGTTCCGATGTCCAGTTGGTTTATATGATGCTCCTGCCAGCTTTCCTGTTGATCAATCTGCAGTTCCCTTGAACCCAATAAAAGTCTACAGGAACCGCCCGACCGACCTCTGACCTCCCCAGATTTTCCCCAATTCCTTCCATCTGTTGAAGTTGCCCCGGTTGATCAACCCAACGGAAACACCTCTTGGGCATTTGGAGCACAGTTCTCGCCACTGTTCCATTTCCGTGCTGGATGCAGGAAAACTGGTCAACTGGTTGTTGTGGTCTGGAATGGACACACCCACCCCTCCCACCCTGGGAACAGTCGCCAGGTTTCCCATTCCCCTTGCATTTGTTGGTGAACTGGCTGGCCCAGTGGTCACCCTTTGACCTAGAAAAATGGCAGGTGACCTCCTACACCCGGCTTGCGCGTAAAAACCACCCCGCTCGTTCTTTTGTTGTTTTTTATGGCCTCATGATTTTACCATGATCAAAGTCACCCTCTAAGTGGTGGGTTAAAGGGAAACAACCGATTCCATTTGCTGACTTTAACCCCCAGAGACCCTCAAAAATAATGACCCCAGTTTCTCCAAGGCCGCACCCCGCTCGGTTTTTGATTGTTTTTCTCCAAGGGCTTACCTCCTACACGGCTGCGCGGGGCTTGCCACCCCGCTCGTTCCCCCGAGGCCGCAGGGCATCCAGGCCGTGGCCCCCTCGGCCAACGCGCTGTGCCAGCGCTACGAGCCCTTCCTCGCGGTGGACGGGGGCTCCGACCGCGCCTGCCGCGGCGCACATAGCGCAGACACCTGGAGCAGCGGCTAGGCTGTTGCAGAGGTGTCCTTTTGATCCGCGCACTCCCTGAGCACTTTGTGGATGGTTTTAGTGGCAAGCGAAAGCCAAGGGGGGACTTCCTTTCCGCCATCTCCTTTTGAGTCGGGCTGGCACAATGGGGAAACCCGCTGGTTGAGGTTTAGACTGGTTGTAATACTCATTTACAATGAAAAAAATAACTTCATTTTTTCCAAAAGGTCAGCTATGTTCTGGGGTTCATAGTTGAAGCTCCACCTGGGCTTGTTGTTGCTTTCTTTTGATGACCCCCAAAAATGGCTTCGGCTCTCCTTACTTTCCCCGGGTCCCATGTTGATAGGTCCCAAAAGGTGATCACCTGTATTTCCGGTGGATTTCCCCTCGAAAAGTGCTCGGTGAGTGCCAAAAGCACGCGAGAATTGGTGGAATTCAGAGCATCTAAAATGTAAAGAGATGAGGGGAGAGAGATGGCCTGGGTGTTTTGCTTTTCCTCGACTTCCAGTGGGTTCGAAGACCTTTCTCATTTTGCTTTTGGCCCTTTAAAGACAACTACCCAAAATGAGAGTGGCCTTTTTAGCCCATGGCTACTAGGGTCTGGGTGTTGACACTTTTGAGTCTCTGCTGTTTTTGAGGTGTTGTGTTTGTTGTCAGCCTGTTCTAGAAAGAAGCTCACCGGCATAGAAGGCAACCATGTACCTTTTAACATGTTTTTTGTTGAAGCATGACGTCATGAAAGTGTTTGTTGATGTGGTGATGCTCAATTTAATATAGTTTGGAGGCATTGGGTACATGCTCAGGGTCCAGGGCAACATTCCTTTTCACTTCCGTTCCCGTTTGGCTGTTGGGGTTTTGTTTGAGGCAACATTGTTTGGTCCTGCTTTTGGGGGATGCTATGTCTTCTTCTTGGGCACTTGTTGGGAAGCAAGGAGAGCCTTTGCTTGCTATCCCTTACTATCCCATTAATAGCCTTGTCCAAAGATCGGCCCCCCCCATTAGCCCGCTAGACAAGTCCGTTTCATGCAAAGCCCGGAGACTGCCCTGAGTTTCCTGTCCCTTTGTTACCTCTGCAGTACTCCCCTGCAAATTGACGGAAGGAACCCAAAGCCCAAAAAGGATCCCCCTCTAAAAAGATTGGTTTTGTGGGTTCCACGTTATTATACGAAACCTTCGCTCCGCTGAGGCTACTACACGGTGCACAACGTGCCCTTCAACGAGTGCACCTCAGCAGTTTGGAATCGTTGAAGTAGCGCTCGCCTTTTGTTGGTGCTTTGTTGTATGAGGTTGTCAGAAAATGTTGAGACCTGGACAAATGATGGGTTTTCTTTGAATTTGGCTTGAATCAAGGAATCCAACAGGAGGTCTCCCCCAAACAAATACTCATTTGGGGCAACAGGACCACCCCCAAAATCCAAGTGGAATTATTGAACGACCCGAGTCAGCCGTGACAAATACAGGTCTTGGGAGCAGCCCCGCGGCTAGCCGAAGCCATCCGCCCAAAGCAAATCGACCTTTTGGCCTTTTGAGAAGTTTCCCTTGGTCCATTTCCTGTCATGGACGCCCAAAAAGGTGAGATCACCTCTTATTTTCTGACTTTTTTCGTGTGAAATCTGCAGCTCAATCCGAAGCCCCCGAAGCCAGTCGAGACCCGCGTCGAGTTCTGAGCTGAGGCAAAGACCTCTGCCTCAGCACCTGGCGCTGCCGGGGGATCCAGTTCCAGGAGGACCGCTGCGAGGCGCGGCGGAAAACGCGCGCCGTGGGAGGTGTCGGTGGGGAAAAAAGGGAAGCCGAGTCGACGACCGCCTCGCTGGAAGATGAGGCGATTTTTTCGAAAGCTCGGAGTGGTGGTGTGTTTTTTGGTGAAGTCGCAAGGTTTCAGAGAGGGAAACCCTTGAACAGGCGTCCAGGGCCGCTGGTGCTTCCGCAACTTTTAGCCGCCATGAAGCTTCAAAGGTGACTCGAAGGACTGGCTTTCCCGATTTGCAGCAAGAGCCAAAAAGCCGTGATTGGCAGAAAACTACTTGGGATCATTTCGCTCCGGAAAGAGCTGAGTGGTGCCAATGGGAAGCCTTTGAAAAGTGGCGAACAAAGGGCCCCCAGGGCTTCACCCAAGACTTGGTGGCTCCCAGCCATTCGGTTCCGCAGCTCGTTGGTTTATTTGAGTTGACTTTGTGGTAGTTGTGTGGTAGTTCCCATTTAACCCACTACAAAGTTATTCACTTTTAGCACCACCCGTTCTTTGAACAACATTTGTTAGGATTGCTTTGGAGAGCAGCCAATGTTGGAAGCCCGTTCGCGAAGCCCCCTTTCCCACCCACCGGGCGCCGGAGACCTCCAGGTCTGGACCCGGGCGTTGGGCATCCAAAGCTCCGCGGCGCTGGCGGGGTCCTTGTGCCTCCGCCTGGGGACGCTGGAAATCACCGCGCCCCGGCGCAACCGGAGAAAAACTGTTCTCGGCCGCGGCGAGCGGCTTTGACGTGCAACACGAGCGGCGGGCGCAGTTGGTTCCGGTGGCGTGGAAAAGCGCGCGGAAAATCCGGGTGAAAGGAAGTTGGGTGGCGTTTTTGCAGGGACCAGGAGCGGCGATTCTGATTCGGGCGGTGGGTCTGGTGTTCGTTGAAACACCCGGTTGGGTGAAAGGTGGTCGTACGGGGACTTCGAATGAAAACCGACCAGTTTTGGGGGATCTGTCCTAGTTCTCGGGGATGTTGGTGGAAGGACGGAATGACCCCAAACTGAACCATCCAAAAGCTTGAAGGGGATCTCTAGGTCCATTCGCGGCCTTGAAAGTTGGAGTCTTTGGGATCCCAAACGGGTCATTGCCACCTTGAACTTGCCAACTGAGCACTCCCAAGATGGGTTCTCTAAGCAAGGCACAGGCAGGCCACAACCCCCTGGAGAAAATGGAAGAAGCTGCAGAAGTTTACAAAGAGGCCGTACTGAAGTGTTCCTCCAAGCAACACATTATCAGCTTTGCAAATTATTTTGCATGTCTATTCAGGTGCATATATTTGCAAATGTGTGTTAAACCAGTTGCCTGACCCGTTCGACACTTTTAGCATGTGTGTGTCTCTTTACTCATCCTCGGGCCGCAAAGTGCAAAGTGGCTTTCCTAATTCAGCATTCTGGGACTGGTTCGAGGGTTGCAATAATGGCATTTGTGTTCACCCGCCCAAACAAATATCGGACATCTGCGCAAGCAAACTCAATTTCACTTGGCGCTGACCCAGCCCAGACTGCAACCGAGACTCCCCCAACGACCCCCCCCCGTTCCACTAAAGAGGCCCCACATGTGGCACTGTTGAAGGGGGGCTATTGAAGCAGGTCCCACATGAGAGGGGGCCAAGAAGCGGTTTGGCAAAGGTTTTTTCCATGTGGGTCACTGCGATTTGAGGCCTTGGTCACGGTGAGCCAAGAAATTGTCCATTTTTGTCCGGTCCAAGAAGGGCAACTCTCCAGAAAGGGCGCTCCATGCCAAAGATCCCATGTCCAAGCTGCGTTCTATTCTCCAAAACGCCAAGCCACACAAGTAGGTGGGTTTGAAACCCCTTTTGCCTTGGTTGAGCCCACCTAGGTTGGACTCAAATCTCAAGAAATATGTTAAGGATACCGAGCCTTAAAAAGGATTGCCGCGCCCGTATTTCATTTTCTTGTGCACCCCAGAGTTGGTTGCACTCAATCGTGCCAACGGACGCATACCCCAAATGGAAATACCCCCAACTTCGTGGTAACATGGGCCTGAGGCCTCTAGATGGGGAATATTCCCAACTTAGTGGTACACCATGGCCCTATATCAGGCCTATAGGTGGGGAATGGGGGTGTGTCCAGTAGGGTTGTCGGTATCTCAGTTGAGCAGACCCCAGACCCCAGACCCCTCTCGCCGCTTCAGAGGACTCCTTCATTCCCTTCCACGGCGGCGAGAACCGGTCCTGTCGCGGAGCGCATGTTGAAGATGACGACCCCAGCCACTACATGGTCTATGGCCCAGACGCTTGGCCCAGGGCCAGAAAACTGAACGGCCAGCTGGTGCTCAGTAGGGAACGACCTTCCAGGTCCGGTTGGTGGTTGAATGTACCCGGCGTATCGCTCCAAGGGGAGTTAATGGGTAGCCTTCTTCGTTCGAGTGGCTAGAAAGTGGCCAGGGACCGGGCAGAACCTATGGCTCTGAATCTACGAAGGTGACCCTTTCAGCCCAAAAGCACTCTTCCTGTGATTGGGTCGTCTTTTTTGAGGGGAAGCCTCCATTCTTCTGTGTGTTTGTTCGGTTTTTTTTCTTTCCTTTTTTTTTTGGGGGGGGGGGGGGGGGAAGTGGGGGAGGTTGAACGGGACACTGGGACACCCACCTTTGGAGACAAGCCCAGTTCAAGCTTTTGCTACATGGCCAGCTTCAACTCAATCACCTTCCTCCCAGGTGCATGCTTCTGAACCGCCTGTTTTGAGGTGATTGAGGTTTTGAGGTGCTTCCATCCTTTAGCCGGCCTTTGTGAAACCCCTCACGTCTCAAATGCCGGAGCCAGACTTCTGAAGCCACGGGTCCAGACTCCCTTTGAAACGAGAAGCGCGCGATGGCACCGACCCAGTGCTTTTAGAGGGGAATATCTGTTGGTTTAAAGAGAAGCCAAAAGGAGAACCAGCAAACGTGTCCATTTTGACGTATATGATTTGGGGGCTGTGAGTCAATTTTCGGAATTGCATGGCATTAGACTTTCGGGTCCCAACTGCCCCCTTTACTGTGCTTCAGTCTCCCAGGTTAGGTGTGAAACAAAATCGTTCGGGTTAGGGGGAGTAATTTCTGGAAAGCAGAGTACCCCTATTTAAAGTGTGGTCTTGCCATGGTCGCTTTGCATCCTTTCACTTCCGCTGACCATGGACCCAACCGGGAGTTTCAATACTGCAAGGGTTCCCACGCAAAATGTGTTTCCAGTGTGGAAAATATGCAGAGCCATCGTTTCCTCAGCACACAGAAGGCTGTTTAAACTCTAGTGGTTAAACATGTTTCAAGGGGGTGGCCCCTTTTCCTGGTGACCATGACTCACCCATGTTTCATTTTGTCCACAGAAGGAAAAAGAGGAAGAAAAAAGAAGAAACAAAAGAGAGCCAGAGAGAGAGAGAGAGAGAGAGAGAGGGAGGGAGGGAGGGAGGGAGGGAGGGAGGGAGGGAGAGAGAGAAGGAGAAGAAAAAAGAAAGGAAAAAGCAAAACGAGTTTTGGTTCGCTTCGGCTGGCAAGGATTGGGTGAGCAGCATCGAAGACTGCAAGCTCTTGTGCACCTCCGTGTCCTCTTGCCAAGGAGACGCCGCCGAAAGCCGCCCAGTCGAGGGGGTGCTTGGCTTGGGGTTGGTTTACGCTCAGACCAACAGCCGGAAGCTCCCAGAAGGCCTCTGTAAATGGAACCCGGTCCTGGGAGCTTCCATGTTAGCCTGGGGGAGGGTAGGGTTGGTTTGTGGTTGGTTTGCGGGTTTAGGGTTGGTTTATCGTTGGTTTGTGGTTGGTTTGTGGTTGGTTTGTGGGTTTGGGGTTGGTTTAGGGGTAGTTTATGCTTGGCTTATGGGTTTAGGGTTGGTTTAGGGTTGGTTGCAAAATATGTTAGAAGAGCCAAGGTTTCGCGTTTAAGGGGAACAAAAAAAAAGATGCTGTTTAAACAATGATGAAACAGCCTGAGTCCTTACATTGCTTGTGTTGGCCAATCCTGGAAGTGGGCGTCACAAAGAAACACCCTTTGAAACCGCGGAAGCACGGGGGAGTTGATCCGCGTGTGCTAGAAACCACCACCTCTGAAGGAAATGAAAACTATGATATGCCCTTCTGATAGGGTGTTTGTGGTTGTTTCTACTTCTTGTTGGGCGGAACCAACACCGAATCTGGTGGAGTCCCCATGTTTTGGTGGTTGAAGGTTACCATAATATGTTGCCATGGTTTGGTGGAGTGGCCATATGGCCAAGTTTGGCTGCACCAATTTACTAAGTTACCATGTGGCCCGGAAAATGAAAATAGGACCTGGAAGCCCCCAAAGTGGCTGGACCTCTCTTAACACCAACCCAAAAAGCATACCGAGCCTCCACAAAAGCGACACGCCTTCTGTGGAGGACTGGACTTCAGCCCTGCGGGCTGCAAGCTCTGGACGCGCGCGCTGGGCATCGGCGCCAGCGCCCCTGTGCCCGGCAGCACCTGCCTGGCCTACGAACCCTTCCGCGCGGTGGACGGAGGAGCGGCGGCGGGCTCTGGTGGACCCGTTGAGGCGGTTTTTGAAGACCTCACTTCCTGAGTTCAGGAACTTTAAACTTTTTGGGTTTGGACCATTTTAGTGGCAAATATAAAGTTTGAACTTTTTTGGGCCATCCACTCAGCAAGTGAGGGCGTTTCTGTTGGAGGTGGTTTTTGGGTTTTGGAAGCGGTTTGTGCAAGCAGTTGTTTTTAGATGGTCTTGAGTTTGGCGCAGTTTGTTCACCACTTTGTTGGGTATTTGGAGTGGTTGTTGCTTTAATCCTCGTGTTTGGTTTTGGGCAGTGTGGGCAAGTCAATGTTTCAGTGGTCAAAGTGGAAACCAAGCTTTTTAGTTTCCCTCGCTCCCTCTTGGCCACATAGTGATCCTTGTGGTTTCCCCTCGCTTGAAGAAATCCTCGCGGGATCTTTTTCTGGGATCAAAGGACAACCGCAGCCCGTAAAGCTGATCTTGAGAACGCACCGCAAGCTTCTGACGGGCAAGCCTCACATCATGAACCCAGCGGTGTGCTTTTGGTTTCCGTTTCAAGCAACCCGAAGGGTACCTCCCTCCCACGTTGCCATGGCACCTGACAGGGGGTCATTGAAGACTGATCTTTAAGGCACCCTGCCATAGATGCTATGTTAGTGGAGGAAGGTTGCTCCATAAAAGACACGCACCCTGGCTTTGTCGACTTTAGGAAAGTATGTCGGACGCTTCTAGAGATTCGGGCAGCCCTGGTTGGTTGACCCTTGCCGGTTGGTGTGTCGCTCTCAGCTTTCATTTTTACTTCGAATTAATTCGGGCCCCAGTTGTCAAAGGAACCCCCTGAAACAGATAAAATTCCCTATAGGAGAAGAAGTTAGTGCGGCCGGATGAATCCGAATTTAACATTTTGTTGTTTGAATCAGGATGTTTTTCCCGCTGACTTGCATGCGGACAACTTGTTGCCAAGCTGGGTCGGCTTGACCAGCCGGCTTGTTGATGCTTGTTGTTTCCTTTGGGATTTGTACTTCGAGGATTTCAGCTAAAGGCTATTGATGGATCCAACGGAAGGAAAAGCCAAGCCACAAAGGCAAAGCACCACAAAAGGTACCCTGACCTTACTCCAGTTGTTCAGCGGCACTCTTAAAATCCCTTTTTGTTTGGGTTCCCCTCTAAACATGGTCAACAAGCCTAAAAGTCCCAGTTCCAATGAATTGTCTGCTTTCCTGGTCTCTGGTTGCAACACATGGGTCGTTCTTGTTTGGTTTTGCCGGTGCAGGAGACGACCGCGAGTGTCGAGGACAGCATGCAGCAGATCTGGCAGTGGACTACTACACCTTCCACGACGCCGCGGCTGCTCCAACTTTGCGCAGCTGCCAAATGCTGCGCCCTCGCCCAGTCGAAAAGTTGGGTTGAGGAATGGGACCCCCAGCAATGGCCAACCGTTTTTTTGTTTGTTGTTTTCCATTTAAACCCACAAAAAGAGAGGTATACCCTCAACAAGACACCCAAAATGTGTCTTTTTCAGGAATCGGACCCCCCACAATGGATTCGGTGTTCCTCTTGGTTTCCCTTTACAGCCGCACAAAGGAGGTACCCTCAGCAAAAACACACCAAAAGCAAATCGAAGGCCGCAGCTCAGCCTTGAAAGTCCGAGTGCATTCAATCTGCATTCACCGTTCCCTTGACACTTTGGCAGTGGCCCCCAGGTGCATGGGGGGGGGGGGGGGGGGGGGGGGGGGGCGGGATCTCGGGACTATCACCGGGGTTTAAAAGGGAATCCGACACCATTTTGGGAGGTCTCGCTAGTTTACCCATTCAGGTCTGTGCTGCACAGACTCCAACAAAAATACAAGTTAGCTTTACCAAACACATTCCCTCGTCCAGGCCAAAACGAAACTATTGTTGTGTTGTTTTTTGTCGCGGCGTAATGTTCATTTGGAGAAAGTAGGATTCCTGGGTTGCACGTTTAGATCTGAGTGCTGCTCCTCTTTGTGTTCAGAGTAGTAGCCAACCTGCTTCTCTCTCGCCAGTTTTGTGGGGTTGTCTCGTTCGGCAGCACCCGAAATGGATGTTGCTGCTTTCTAAGGAGGTCAAAACCTCAATTTGAGGAGGCGCCCATTCGTTTCGAACCAAGTTGTTTCTTTTCGATCCGGCGACTTCAGGATGCGACGCACTCAATCCGCCACTCAACTCAAGGGCCTTTCCCAAAATGGGGGCAGGCCTCAAGGTTGGTCTCTTTTGTCTTCCCCGTACGGTGGTTCTTAGGCCAGAATTGTTTGAGCGCCATATCTACATCAACAACCATCCAACCAGTTTGTGAATTCACAGCAGTTTAGAGTCTACCACGGGGTATCAACGCACAGAGGTTCCGACGCGGGTTCTTTCAGGTTTTTTCTGGGGGAAAAAACACATCCAAACATAATGCCCTCAGGCACACCCAAATGAGCAGCGTTGAGTTTCCTCCCCAGCAGTGTATAAGCCCTGAGCCTCTAAAAAAATCAATGCTCAAATGTGTACGTAAGTTTTCTTGTTTCGTCTCCTTTCGGCCCGCATGCAAGAGTTGCCTTAGAGCAGCCTTTGAGGTGTGCAGACACCGCGGATTGCAAGGCCATTTCCTTCGAGGAGAGGGCATCCATTGAAGTCACCGTGATTTTCCTGTGGTTTGGTGCGTGTCAAAATTAGGGGGTCCCCAAAAGCCGTGGGTTTTCGGGTTGGTTTCCCTTTCACCCAAGGGTCCGACGGGTCCCTTTTCTTCAAAACCTGGCGACTTCTTTTTTTGGGCCGGGGGCTACATGCCAGGGAGTACATGGCTTACATAGCCCCGGAATCATGTCTTTGGGCTTTTGAGATGGCTCCCCAGTGATGTTTCTTGAGGATAAACATGTGTGCGTTGTTCATGTCCACCTGATGTAGCTGGAAAAGCCGTAGCTTTTGGTTGACAATGTCAAAAGTCAGCTAGTTTTGTTGGCAGATTACGTTTCCGGGTTGCACACGGGAGAACAGTGGAAAGATTCATAGATTGATAAATTCTAGGCAGTGGAAACCTCCGGAGCCCCTCCTGAAAGCCGGTCAACCAACCCGCCTGACCGACATAGCTTGGGGCAAACAGGACGGTGTGGCTCCTTTTTTTGAGGGCCCCTCTCTTGGGTCGTAAAGAAAAACCAGGAGGAAAACCCGCTACTTACAGGCAAGCAGTGAAACTGTCGAGCCTCTGGTTGATTTGAACCTCCCAGACCTCAGTTCATGGTTCCTCAATTTTGAGTCAACCACATCTCTGGTCACAAAACCGCCACAACCCATCTCTGGTCCCAAAAGCGCCCACTCTTTTTGTTGAAGCCAAAAGTCAAACCCATCTTTCGTCACAAAGACCCACCCATCATCATAGCCCATCTCCGGCAGGGTTCCGTTGTTTCACTACCCCAAGGCAGACTAAAACTCGGTGATTGACTCCTCCAAAAGGCAAACCCCTGGGTTTAAGTCTGACAGTCAAAAAACGGAACCCTGATCTCAAGAAAGGCGGCGGCTTTCCTACCCTTCAGCCAGGACAACGCGGGGTGCCGTGTCTGGACCACTGCTGTGGAGGCCTCCGTGTCCAAAGTGGGCTCCGCCTGCTGGCGCTACGAGCCCTTCACCAACGTGGACAGCGGCCGGATCCCATCGGAGCCGAGCCGGGGGGACGGAATGTGGGGAGGGGCCCTGTGTGGTTTGTTTTGTTTTGTGTGTGTTGAGGGCGTACCTGTTTTCTGTGTGGGTGCTTGTTCTGCTTTTGTTAACATGCCCCAAGGTTGGTGTTTGGAGATGTTCCTGAGAAAGAAAAAAAAAGTATGATTGTGCTTCGCGCTATTGTTGGTTGAGAGTACCCATTTTGGGGTGGTGTTCAAGGTAAACCAAGACGAACACCAACGTCCACTACGCGGGTCCCCATCTCATTGGATGGAAACACCGAGTGTCGAGAGCAATTGCTAGCATGATTGTATCCAAGCATGTATCAACGGCAAATTTTATGGTTGCTTTGTGGTTTTATATGGCCCTTTAGCCCTTGAACTGAACATGACCGGTTTGCACCTCGCGAGCAACGTTTCGCAGGGGGGCAAACCCCTACAACTGAGGGGTTCCTCAACTTTCTTGTTGGCCCTGCAAAAGTGGTTCAGTTCAACTGAAAGCCACCAGTCAGTTGCAACGCGACCATGCTCAAGGGGGGGGGCCACATTCTAGGGGAAGCCATGTTCAAAGGAGATCAAGTTCCTTGTTTTTTCTCTGGTTCAGTTTCCTCAGAACCAGCACCCGCAAGAAGTGCCGCGAGCGCTAGGCGTGGACCGATCCTGCCGTGGCGCGCACATCTACGACAACTCCGCCGCGTACTACTTGTCGTATAGTGACTGGGCCCCGCGGTTTGTGCAGTCCGGCATAGATTTGGCAATTCTGGGCGTGGTGTGGTACATGATTACAGTGACTGGGCCCATGTTTGTTGTTGTGTTTGCTTGTTTCATGAACCCGTTTGTTTTGTTGCGGCTGTTTCATGCAGCCATGGAGGGATATGGAGCATATCAATTGTAAGATGTAGATGTCGAATAGATTGCGGTGCAACTAAGAGGCGCGCCCAAGACCCGTCGCTAGTGGATTGGTTTTCGCTTGATGCAACTATGCCATGGTTGATTCGTGAGCTCAGGTTCGCAGGTGGCATAGCCTCCAGTTTCCCATTGCATGGCGCCATAACTTTGAGCACGGTAATGCGTCCATGTTTCACGGTTGCAGCCATGCGGCCATGTTTCTGTAGCAATGGGTCCTGTATTCCGAATCCTTTTCGAGCTAAGCATGCCATCAAAAAGAGACTTACTAGTGCGATAGGTAGGGAATGACCTTCCGGGTGTTGGGAATGAGCCGAAAGAAGCCCGGAAAAAGGAAACCGAATCGGGGACAGTTTGCTCGGGGTCATTCCAACTCATTCCCTGCCTATCGAACCAGCCAGGAGATTTGAGATTCGGCTGTCCAGGCTAGATTCAAGGTGGGCGGATGGGTTTCGGAGTGTCCCCAGCCCTTTCCGCGAAAACAACAAATAACTGTGGGTCAAACATAGGTAGGCATGTTAAGAAATGTTAACCCAGGCAATGGGAAGGACTACAACCTGCGGTCCATATATCCCACCCTGCGGTCCATATCCTGGTGGTTTCATTTTGACCCATACCCAAAATTCTAAGGGGTTTCTACATACCCCGAAATCACATACCCAACAAAAGTTGACTATATAGTGGTTATATAGGGATTATGCACTGTTGCCAAGGCGGCGTGCCCCATTTTCACGTGCACCTGCGTTTCTTGGCACCGGATTTCCTTCTTCCCATTCCCCGAAGCCCCTGGCTGCCCCAAACCTCTCCCGAAATCACCCGGCATCTCTCTCCCAAATTCCCCGCCAACCCCCGGTTCCCCACCCAATCACCAAAAAGCAATCCCAAGACCCACAACCGCCCGCATACCCCAAAAAAGGAGCCCCAGAACAAAGGATGCACCCAGAATCAACTATTTTGGGGTATGTATTTTTCTTCCCACGGTATGGTGTGTTTTGCCGGCCCGGGAGATATTGAAGAAATTTGGGGTATGTACTCTTCGGCCCCGGTGGGCTTTTGTCCGGGGTTCCTCACCACCGGTCTTAAAATGAAATCTGGAGCATCACCTGGGCGTTGTTCTGCCCACACTGCTCTTGTCATCCCGCAAACCATCACGAGTAGTGCCTGGCATAGGCTAACAGTGACAGTGGCAAGCACACATTCCTACCCCGAGAAGGTGTTTCCATTCTTTTGGGGTGTGTGTTTTTACTCTTGGGAAAATCCCCCAGGAAAATCCAACATCCCAGGCGAGGTGACCTCGCTGGAGGGCTGTCGCGCCAAGTGCTCGGGCACCAAAGGCTGCCAGGCGACGGGGGCCGGGGGCCTTTGGATCAGCGGCGCTGGGATTTTCCATCCGCTTGGGAACCCCAAACTTTTTCTTCGGAGGTCCCCCAGCGTTGGCCTTTTACCTCGTTTTTGGGGGAGGGTTCCCCTACTAAATAAGCCACGGAAGAAGGGTACCCTTATTCTAGCCTCTTGACTGGAGAACCTAGTTGGTGCATTTTCCCAAGGGATGTTAGGACTTTCACTTTTTGCCAACTCATGGGTTTGCCATCAAACCACTAAAAGTCAAACTTTTAGCAGGGGAGCAGAAAGCAACCGAGTTTTGATTGGTGGACATAGGTGGATGTCAGGGCAAACACCAGAAAGAATCATACCCAGAAATGTTTCTATGTGTTGTTTGGGGCGGGGACATGAATCGACAGAAATCTCCCCAGCTAAAGTATGTCCAGAGGGGAAAGGGCCCACTGTCTAAACTCTTACTCAGATGTATCTGCTTTTGTTTGTGTGTGTGTGTGTGCGGAGTGACAGAATGCCCTGTCACCACCATTTCGGTTTATCAGCAGGGGGACCAGGCGTCTTGCTGCTGACCTGGTCTAACAAAGCTAGGCAGCAAGACGGGATACCGGAGTTGGCCACTCCGGCGTACCTGCGACCGTTCCCACACCTGTTGTGCAATGTCCATTTGGCCCGTTGTTTTCTCGCTGTGTGTGCTTCATGTTGAATCTCGTAACGGTTTCGACACTAAAGGGAAACCGAGTGCATTGCGAGCAGAGCCTACACCTACTCGAGACTCACCAGTTGTACTCGAGACTCATCAGTTGTACTCGAAAGATTAGCACTCTCCATTTGGAGTTCAAGTGTGTACACCCCATTCGTGGGGAATCCTCGGGTGTACCCATTGTGTGACCCCGGGCCGGCTCTGTCGGAAAATTTGACCTCAACCTGCTTATCATAGAACAGCGGAATTTCACAGTTAACCAGGAACGAGGTCTCACTAAAGGGAAGACAGCGGTCAGATCATAGTGACGTCTCACCTTTGCTTATTGCTTTATATTGGTTGAAGTGGTTGATATCTTGCCGTTGATTCCTTGCCGTTTCATGAATTTGCTTGTTGACTGATGCGTGTTTCTCAAGATGACAGCGTGACGATTGAGGGTCGATTTTGTGACCATGTCTCGACGTGATGATCGTGATAGATCCAGGACTCGGCGCAGACGTGATCGGAGTACTTCTCCTCAAGCTCGGAAAGCACACCGACGTGAACACAATGAACACCACGTCCCGGATGGCATGGATTGGAACAATCTGGTATCTTGGCAACACAATTCCGGCTACAATTCTGCCAACAACTTCCCGATGATGCCCACCAATTTTCAATCGACTCACAGTCCCACACAGCAATTTCAACATCCATCGATCAACTACATGATGCCGATCCCTCCGGACCCCACGCCAACGAAGTTCATGCCGCCCGTGATGCCTCCACCGGTCACTACTCAGCAACCTACAGCGCCACCTGGACCTCCTGCGGCTCTACCGGTTCGCCCTCAGAAAGCCTGGCTTACACCTTCGCCTGACTGGACACCTGGAGATGGCATGTTTGATGTCAATCAGCTCTACAACTTTAGCTTGCCCATGACCGTTGCCAACACTCCGCATGGCAACCTGCGCGACATGTCAGGCATGGATATTCGTGACGTTCGCCTGGTTCAGGTCATTCATGGGGGCCTCACCAACTGGCTCCTCCGACCGTTCGCTCACGGCAGATTCGTGACGTGGGAAGGCTTTCGCACCCGCACCGAGGCCTTACTTTGGAGTACCTGTTCCAAATTACTACGACGATCACAGTCGATCAATCTGCTCACCCTGGAAAAGGACCTTGCCAACTCGCTGGGTCTCAACATCGATGACTTCAATCAGCGGATCAAGGTCCATGAGCATTTGGCCAACTCGGTACTTCAATTTCTTCAGCAACAACATGCTTCTCTCACGCCTTCTACACAGACAGATGACATGGTCAAGAAGTACAATGATCTCAACCGTGCGCATGAACTGCTCCAGGCTCAGTATTCAGCATCACTGCGCGCTTCGACCTCTCCCACGATGGCAAGCCAGAAAGATGATGCAGAGTTGGTTACACCTCCACCGGTCAACCACACGCAATCCTCTTCACCTGCCAGCTCCCTTCCTACCGCCAGTGCAGCGGCCCTTGATGGCAAGTCGTTTGATGGCGCGGTGCAACCCCGGATCATTCAGTCTCTTCACGGAGTGTCTTCACCGCCGTCCAAGCCGGCGGCGTCACAATTGCTCACCATGCACAGCACGCCGGAAGAAGTTGTCAAGTACTACACATGGACCAGTGACCAGCCACGTCTTTATCTCAAGCAATCGCCCACAACCACGACTTTGACGTCACTAGTCAAATGGGCTAATCACCCGTCCCGACTCAACGGCAACAAGTCATTGGATTCCATGGCGACGCAGCTCCTTCAGGCGCGTCAACGCATGCCGAAAGGTGACGCACCCACTCTCGGGGCGATGGCGGCTTCGTGGGGACTGGAGCCTGGCTATCTCACCAAGCTCACTGAGAAGGCATTGAGTCACCTCATCGTGACCGCTCGACTACTCAGCTGATGAGCAGACATTTTGACGATCTTCGTTATCTTATGAGCCCGGAGCGGCACCCGTGTCACGGATGAGTCAAGGTTAAAACTTGTCCGTCATCTTTTTGCGTGACATCAGTTTGATCTTGTGCTTGGTTGTGCTTGCATTGCCTTGTACGTGATTTTCTGAGCAGCTTGTAACCATGTCGCCGCCTCATAGTCGATTTCATTGGTTGCAATTGCACCATGTTGGATGAGCTTCGCCGCTGTGGAATCTATGATGATGTTGCACAATGGCAGTCTCTCGACAATTTTCTACACTCGTTGACCATGTTCTCTACGTGCTGGCAATACTGCTTCCCTGGATTACCACCACCGTCGATACCAGCTGAGGAGTACGAATCAATCACACAGCTACCGTGGTTGGGCCTCATTCTGGAAGTATTAGTCGTGGTCCGGATTGCCCTTCAAATTCCGCATCACGCTATGTCACAATCTCAACACACTGTGGCCAACAGGTATGAGCTTCATCGATGCCGGTGCACTGCCTATTTATTGATCAGTTTCCTACAACGTCTCATTTCCCAAGATCATGGCTACTTTCCGCCATTCTTTGAAGTCCTTCACTTCTACAAGGCATCTCTCTTGTGTGAAATCATGCACTCCACCTTTGCCGATACGCGGCATCTTCGCTCATTGCGGGCGCGATTTCCGGACCTCTATGACTTCATCCACGATCCAGGTCATCATCAACAACCGTGCGTTTACATCCGACTTTCCCCATGGCACACACCTTACTACGTTGGTGCGACTGATCAGGATGTTCTACGACGTGAACACTCACGCAGTCGCAAATTTCTACAACTACTTCGGGGACGTCATGCATTCTTTGAACCCGCGCTGCACTACTAGAAGCGATCCAACACTTACTGGCTCTTTTGTGCTGTTCCAGTTGAGATCAAACTTCCCGTTTCCTCGGTTTGGGTTCAGGAAAGCAAATGGCAATACCTGCTACGCCCGCATTTGAATGCACCCTGGGTACACAGGCTTTTGCGAAAGGTGGGCTTCCGGGAACACCTCGTTGATTTTCGACGTCATTCGTTGTCGTCTCCCACTTCCCTCGGCTTGCACAAGCGGTTTCGACGACGACTACATCCGGATCTTCAACGGCAACTACGTCCCGACATGCTGGATGACATTCAGGCCCATTATTCCATTCTCTATCAACTGGGATCCAATACAGGTGCATCGTTCCAAGTCATGCGTGACCTTCTATCGGCGGCTTTCCCTCCTACTCAGCTTTACTACTTTCTGCGACTCTCCGTCTTTGTCAACGAGCCCTTCCGATCCAAGGCGCAGAAGCTTCTCGCCCAGGTGTTACGCAAACGACAGCTACAATCACCCACCACTTTGACACAACTACTCCTACCACCTCTACATGTCCGGAATTGGAAAGCTCTACTTGGCACATGGTTACAAAGCTGGATTGCTTCTCATCGTGATTTGTTTCCTTCCCTTTTCCTCCCAAAGATCCGGGTGGTGGAGACTCGCAGCGCCACATTGGGCGACAAAATCTACAACTACCGCAAATGGCAGCGCAGATGGACTCCTGAAACATCCTTTCCGTGTTGTTGTTTGGACATCGAAGATCACCATGTACACCGTGCACATGGACATGTTGTAATGGTTGATGAGTTCTCACGCATCAATGCAGACATTGACATGGAAATCATGGCCGCATCAATGAAGGATCAGTACTTTGGTGATGTCGATTTGTTACATCAACGTTTCACCACACAGCTTCGCAAACTTGCTCGTCGTTGGCATGTGCATGGGTCCAGTCTTCTTGTTGACTTGCAGCCGGTTTTGACTCAGTTGATGAACAATCATCGTGCTAACCTTCAAGACCGTGTTCATTGGTCATCGACATCGTTGCAGCGCACCGTGGCTTCTTTGTCATCATGGGTGGTAATCCCCGCGGATCATTTTCCCTCACGTGCACATGTGATTTGTCCGTCTCTGTTTGCTATACTGATGCGGAAGACTTTTTGCTCGGGAGATGTCTTTTCACTTTGCCGTGAATCCGCAGCATCGTTTCGCTCTGAAGTGGTAACTACGGTACCTTCCCTTCTACGTCAGCGATATACATGGGGACTTCGACTTCAAGCACCGTTGCCCACAGCTCGCATCCTTCCAAAGCCGACCAAGGACTGGCAGAAAGCACGACCCATCATCTCGTTCTTTCGCACGTGGGCAGCTCCCTTCCTCACGGTCTTCGGCGCCCTCATATTTGAACTCACCAAAGCTACTTTTCCTGACATTGCAGGTCAACTTTCAGTACAAGAACTTGTCCAGCAGCTGTGGGAGTCGCTGTCACAGGCAGATCCCGATGAGTACATCCACCTGGTGTCACAAGACC